GGAGTGCAGTGGTGCCTTGAAATGCATGCTTTTAAAGTGGGGTGTGACTTGTATTTTAAAAAAAAATGTAAAAATCCTTGTTTGTTCCTCATCCTTAATCTCTGTCTGTCCTTAAACTGTTAGCTCCTCAGAGCAGAGCCCGTCCTGTCCTGAAAGTCTAGAAAGCGCCGAGGGCCCTGCCATAAACAAATACATATTTATGATCTGCCTGCCAGTTAGATCCATTTTCTGTGTACATTGTTCCTTAGGTAGAACGTTTTTGGATGCAAAGCAATGCAGCCGTTGCCGTGCTAGCAGGGCTGGGGCTGGCCTCGCTTATCTCTATTGGAAATACAGCGCTTGAGAACAGCCGCGTGCTGCAGTGTGTGGAGTGGCTTTCTGCTACCGCCCTTGTTACTTGTCAAATTTATGCCAGTTACAGGTAACAAATACACCAGAAATGCTTATTGATGTCAACTCGCAGGCCTGTTGCAGAAGGCAGGGAGGATTCTGTTTAACCCTCCCCACGCTTCTCAAATTGGCAAGCCTCTTATACATCCAAAAGGCCAGTAATTTGGGGACAGAGCCGAGGGGGACTCCTGATGTGAGTGAGGAGGGTGTAGTAAGGGGGTGAAAGTCCTGGGAGCTGGATTTCAAGGTTGAAGGTTATATACTGAGATGAACTTGGAGGCAGTATTGCCTTGGGCCTCATCTACAACACATCAGAGACTTTCTGAAGTGTGGGTGTCATTCCCCCAGCCCCCCTCTCCAATTTCAGTCTAGGGAAACACTTCCCTGTCTTGTGGCCCCAAGGCTCTTTGAGCCCTTAACTGTAGTAGCCTGATTTCTTGGTCTGTCAAATGCAGAGAACAGCGTGCTCAATTTTGCATGGCATTTTGAGACGTGTGGCTGAAAAGAACTGTATGAGGACCAGATGCTAGTTTCATTTATGACTTCATATCAGATCAAACGGTTTTGGTAATCTAAATGTGTTGCAAAAGTCCGAGGAATTTTTGCTTTGATCTTTTCCCGTTTAGCCTTTGTGACCAAAGCCGCAACGAGGTAGTCGAAAAGTTTGCAAGAAACCTTCTGTCCTCCATGCCACCTGACGCAATAGTCTTGCTCAGAGGAGACTTGCCAGGGAACTCCCTCCGTTACGTTCACTACTGCGAGGGAATGCGGCCTGATGTGACACTAGTGGATCAAGAGGTAGGTAAGCAAATAACTGTAAGAGGCCATCACTAGCTTTGCAGTAGAAACATTCAGTTATTCCCTTATTTATCACTTAAATATTTTTCATTCTTCTGATGGGTGAGGATGCTATTTTTAACATTTCTTTTATAAAGGTCTCCTGCAGTTCAGGGCTTAATTGAAAATTCAGGGACTGAAGAGCTTGGGCGTGACTTGGAAAATGTGTTCAAAGCCTCGAGGCTCTCTTATTTTTTGAAAGGTTTTGGAGAGGAGCCCACTGGGCATCAGCACCAGGTTTCACTTGTTTTTTATTACTGTTGGGCTCAGCTTAAAATGGAGCATGTGTACCCACAGGATGGCATCCCAGGCAGCTGGATTTCAGGGTCAAAGGTTATACCCCAACGTGAATCTGAAGGTGTGAAAGAGAAGTGAAGAAAGAATGATACAGAGAATCTGTGAATCTGAAAAAAGGAAGAGTTCCCTCCTCACCCCTCTAAAATATGGAGAAAGCGCTGGTATACTCTGTGCATGTGTCTGTGCAAGGAGTGAAGATACATTTTCTGAAGAGAACGTGCTGTGCAGTGTGGGGGTATGGCAAGATGTCTGCTCTTAGCTCTGACTGTGCACTCTTGCCCGAGTTTCCTTATGGGCTGAACCTGTTCGTAGGGAATGACCTGGATGGGCTGGGTTGCTCCAACTGTTGTACCAATGCCTCTGATGAGTCGGATGCTGTGCTTAGTGAGACTTCCTGAGACAGCGAGCCTTCAAAGCATCCTTGGCAATTCCTACTCTTGCAGAAGGGCTCTGGGATGGGGACCTTAATTACAGCCTTGCAGTGCGCTGCAGATGTCTGTTTGTTGTGCAAGACTGGTTCCTCCTTCCGTCTCCCCTTGTTCCAAGACCATCTTGACTGCAATGAGATGTTACCTCTCTACATGCACCCTCCTCTTCTTGCTACCCTCCTCCCTCCCAATATTTGGGGAGGA